CCCGCTCTCTGATGGTCTCGTGCATACGTGACGTGATCCTTATCTCCTCGGCCTGGATCGCCCGCGTGTTTAAATATACTTCCCTGTGGCGCTCCGCCAAGTGCTCCACCGGGATGACTCTGGCCAAGAGGAAAGCCGCCGGGTAGGAGACAGTCCTATATGCTGCCACTATCCTCAAGGCCACCCGCCTCTGCACCGCTCTGATCATGTTTGCCAGCTTCTTATCCCGTTTTAGAGTGGGGGCCCACACAGGCGCTCCGTAGAATATCACGGAGTGAACCACCCCACTGAAGAGCCTTCTCGCAGGCTCACTTGGTCCTCTCAGATTGGGCATCAACCTCGTTAGGGCCAGCGACATTCTTTCAGCCTTGGGTAGTAGTCGCTTAAAGTGTTCGCGGAAGGACCACTTCCTGCTAAGCACCAGCCCGAGGTACTTAAAATCGGTTTTAACCGGGATCAACTGTCCCCTTATCCAAATCGCTTCTTCGCTCACGAAGCGACGTGCCCGTGAGAATGCACACACCTCCGTCTTCAAGGGGGAGATCTTCAACCCCAGGTTTTCGATCTGTCTAATTACTACCGCTGCAGCAAACTCCGCCCGAGCGATAGCCTCCCTCAGATTGTCTCCTAAGGCCATTATGAGGGTATCGTCCGCGTAGCAGATAGTCCTGCAGTCCTCAGCGAGCTCCTGTTGCAGGATCGCGTCGTATGTGAAAATCCAACCCTCGGGTCCAAAAGCCGAGCCCTGAGGGACCCCACACGTCATTTGAACTTCCCTGTTCCTGCCTTCGCAGTCTTCAAAGCGGATCCATCGGTCCGACAAGTAGTCGCTCACAATTGCTCTCAGATAGTTTGGCAATTCCTTCCTGATCGTGGCCTCCCTAATCTTTTCCCATCTCAGCGAATTAAACGCGTTTGAGATGTCGAGTGAGACTGCTATCGCAACACGCCCCTCCTCGTATACAGGATCGAGGAACTCTCTCAGGCGCAGTACCGCATCTACAGTTGAGTGCATAGCCCTAAAGCCATACTGCGACTCGGAGAGACCAATTCCCTCCGCCAGGCAGGCCCTGATCCTGCCCACCAGGACCCGCTCGAATAACTTGCCCATTTCATTCAACAGGCAGATGGGTCTATAGGAAGAGGGTTCGAACTCCGGTTTCCCTGGTTTCTTCAGAAGGACCAATCCGGCCTTCTTCCAGCAACGCGGGAACACGCCCTCCTTAAGGCAGTCGGTAAAACACCTCGCCACTTCCTCCGCGCAAGCTGGGAGGGCCACTTTTATGGCCTCTGCCACAATTCCATCCGGTCCAGGGGCTTTGCCGGATTTGAATTTTGCGGCCGCCCTCTCCACTTCCTCCCGAGAGACGGAGTACTCCTCCTCCCAGAGAACAGCTTGTCTTGGTCTCTCTACTAGTTCCTCAGCAATATGGGGGAACAAGCCCGTCACTATTTCTTGGATCTTGGTGAGTGGGAGCGTCTCACAAATGGGCCTGATGTACGGTCTCAGCTTGTCCAGCACGATTTTATAGGGACGTCCCCAAGGGTCCCGGTTAATCGTTGCTAAAAGTTCGCTCCAGGCCGAATTCTTCGCGGTCCTTATCGCTCTCCTCAGGATCTTACGGGCTTGCGACAGTTCTGCCTCCAGCGCCGGGGCTGTACCGCCATTCCTCCTATGGGCTCTGGTGACCCTCCTTCTAAGGGAGATACATTTTTTCCTGAGGGTCGCTATATCCTCCGTCCACCAATAGACAGCCTTTTTGGGACCGGGCCTTTGGCGTTTCATGGCCAAGTCCGAGGCCTCGGTCATCATTATCTGCAGTCGTTTCGCCTGATCTTCCGCACTGCGGCTGTCATTAGCCGATCTAGGCCAGAGGAATGTGGCAACACTTGCCTGAAGCAGGTCAGGCTTCATACTTTTCCTATTCCATCTTACAGATCTTGCCCGTGCGATGTTTACACTTGGCCCCCTGTCCCTTTTCAGGCGTAGGTAAATATACCTGTGATCGGACAGGGTCTCCTCTTCTGTGGCCACTTCCCATAGGTCGATCATTCGAAACGCCGCCGGGGATACCCATGATAGATCGATAACCGACCTGCCCTGCGGCCTAACGCAGGTCGGTTCGAAATTGTTGTTCATCAGCCGAAGGTCCATTGCGGAAGCCCACGTCATAATTGTATCTCCTCTCGCGGTAGGACGCGTATTGTCCCAGACATTTGATCGGGCATTGAAATCCCCCAGTATCAGTAGTGGGCGATTCAAGTACCCTCTTACCGCATCTCCGAGCTCCGCCAGGTACATCCTGAATTGGTTTATACTCTTGTTGGGCGAAAAGTAACATGATGCCACAACTAATCCTCCCCAAGAAGCCACCACAAAACAGTCCCCTGTCTTCAGGACCGAGGCGGTGCCCGTTCTTTCGCCTACGGGCCAGTGCATCGCCGCCATTGGGGTTGGTTCGCTGGAACGTGCCCATCTCGCATTGTTTGGTATTCTGTGAGGCTCCGATATGCAGGCCAGTCCGCAGTCTTGTTCTCGCATAGTTTGAATCAGCAAGTCTTGGGCCCCGCTTGATCTGTTCAGATTAGCCTGAATGATCTTTACGCTGTCAGGCATTTATTTATTTAGTCCTCTGTTCTTCGGCCACATTACTCCGATTGGCCTGAACTTTTCCGCGCCTTGGGCTCCCACTCTGGGTCCTTCTTGGTGGGCATGGCGGACAGACCTCGGATCCCGCTCTGTGGTCGTATCGCAGGCCCTTCTCTTTGCACAGCGGGCACCGCGGTGGGCCACCGCATTCCCTCATGGTGTGGCCAGGCTCGCCACAGTTGAAACAGTTGTTAGCTCTATCAATTTCGCTTGGGCAGTTATCCCTAACGTGACCCGTGGCAAAGCACTTGAAGCACTGGAGGGGCCTCCTTTTCAACAGCGCTACAAGTGCCGTGGACCATCCAGCTCTAATCTTTCCAGTTTCTGCAAGTCTGGTTGCCGCTTCCAGGGGGCACTGCAGCCAGACCGTCCTCATTCCATTTCTTGCCAGTCTGAATGAGCCTAGGCGGACGTTAGCCGCCTCACAACCACCCGCCCTGGCAACTGCCTCGATAAGTTCTTCAGTGGTTACGGAAGCATCCAGACCGGCCAACCTTACCTCTCCCCTCATCATGGGTCTTCTTATTTGGACGTTTAGTGTCCTTAAAAGGCCTCTTGCAGTTTTTTCGCCAGATTGTTTGCTGCCGGTGACGTATTATCGCCCGGTATTTCTATGAGGACACTGCCGCCCATCGTACTCCGCATCCTTGTTTCCTTTATACCGAGCTCGTCGAGAGCGATTTCATTTCTGGCCTTTCGTATGACCTCGGAATACGTTATTCCCTCCGGGCAGGAAATTGTAATCGCGGATGACCTAGGAGCCCGCACACGTGGGGTCCTAGCTACCCTTCTGTTCTCCTGCCCGCGGTTCACCTCCCTCCGTGTTTTTTCCTCCTGCCGCGGAACTTGTGCATCGCGGACTAATCGCGGTATCTCTCTTCTATCCTCCCTCTCCGGTAGAGGAGGGTAATCCGCCTGGTAAGCAGGCCTGTTCACTAATCCTGCGGTGTTTCCGGCTGGGTCCCTCAGCGTATTCCCACGGGTTCTTCGCGTTTGATTTTTTTGTCCTCTTGCGCTTTCTCTCCTTTGCGGTAACGGTATTTCGTCACCGGTTTCCGCCGCTTGGGAATCCACGGCGACTGAGGAAGATCCCCAGCCCTCCCCCTCTTGGGGAACTTCCCTAGCTGGGGGATTTCTTGTTTCCTCCCGCCTGTTCCTGCCGGTTCTCCTCGAACCTGGGAGTTGCGCCCAGATTGCGCTAGCCACCGCACCATTAATAATGTTGCCTAGCCTGTCGAGAAATTCCTCGTCCATTGTGCCCGAGGGTCTTTCTCGAGGTCTTGATGTCTCCCTGCTGTTCGTTCTTCGGCCCACGTTCTCTGATTGCAATTGTACCGATGCTTCACGGCTTCTATTCGTTTCCAGTCCCGGAGGGGGGTCTGGCGAAATCTCCATCCGGGCTGAGGAGGTCCCGGGTCTGGGGTCAGAATTCCCGGGAGGGCTCGCTCTTATACGGAGTCCGCTTGCAATTTCGTCCATCTGAACTTTCAAGCGTTGGTTCTCCTCTCTGAGGCCATTGATCTCACTCTGCATGTCTGTGAGCTTGGACCTCAGAAAGCCGACATCCCCCTCCTGTGAGGCTCTCATCGAAAGAATTTTTGTTGTTTCCGCAAGGGCAGCTACGTTGATCTTCATCTTTCTTGTGATAGATCCTTTCATGTTGCTTGACATCTTGCGACATTCCTCCATGTCATTAAGCCATTCCATGGCCACCGCTGCCATGTCTGCTGACGAGAGGAGCTCTATATCCTGTAATTTGTGTGCCAGCTCTTTTCTCTGAAAATCAGAGAAACTCGAGATCGGGCTCACCTCCTCTTTATCCGTCTCAGGAGACGACAGTATCTTTTTTTCTCTTCTGGCCAATTCTCGGGGGAGGCCTGATCTTCCCGGAGGAAGAGGAGGTGGATCCCCTTCTAGGTCCAGTAC